GACCTGACTGACTCCTACCTTTTATTCTGCCATTCCCACCTCTACCACAGACATACTCCCTCCACACACACTCTTGGTGTTCCTACTCTCTGATAATAAAACTGAGTCAAGGATGGATTTTGGTCCTGAGGACTCTGAGATGTCTGGATCCTATGCATTGAGCTCCAAAATGGCCTTGCCTCCACCCAGAATGGAACCAAGCAGATCAAAACAGGTTTTCATCTTCCCCTGATTGTGAACGACCCTTAATATTCAGAGCAGATTTTACCTTATCCAGAGCAATTGTGATTTCATTTTAACACATAGATATTTGAAATCACTAAGTTAAAGAAGCATTTTTGTATTTTGAAATATGTAAAGCAAAATAGAGAAAAATATCCATGGACCCACCATCCTATCTTTGTAAAATAGTAACATTGGGCCTTATGTTCTCTATTCTTTTTGAAAAAACTGTCCTGAATTTTGTGTTTTCATTCTCCAGCATGATTTTATACTTTTATAACATGTGTAAATCCTTAAGCAGTATTTAATATCAAATTGCATGTTTTAAATTTTACATAAATGCTGTTATACTGTTTATAACATTCTGGAACTTTACTTTTTATTCTTAATAATCTCTTCAATATCAAGTTTTCCTTTTCATGGAAGTGATATACCTCTATTTAGATTTTCTTTTGTGGCTTTCAAGTCACAATTTTACATGTTTTCCCCCCATATCATTTTACGCAAATTTAATTAGAGCTATTCTTAACACTTTATATATAGTTCATGGACTCCTTAAAAGTTGAAGTGACTATTTTCATTAGTTTCTGACTACTATTTAGGATGCTAATTGATTTTGTTCATCACTTTTAGATCCAGCAGGTTCGTGAAACCCTTACTAGTACTAATAGTATGGACAATCTTTTTATTTGCAACACTTACAAAATCAATTATCTAGAATTGGTTTCTACCTTTTCAGAGTTACAATGCATGTATTTTAAGAGTCAAATAGTTATTAAAGTTTTCCATATGAAAACTAGAGTCTCCCTAACCTCTCTCCATTTTTAACCTCTAAGGAAACAATTTTAAACACTTTTAACTGATTTCTAAGATTCCATTACCATATCTCATGTAGCATGCTTATATTGCCACTTCTTGATTTCTCACTCTTAGGCATTATTATTGACTCCCCACTAAGGAAGATGGGATATAGGTTCTGTTCCTCCTGACCTCGTGCCACACATTTCTAATCCCCATCACTCTTATATCATTATATCATAATCTTGGATAACTGAATAGGCAGTGCCTATCTTATAATGACCATGAGACTATTTACAGTTGAATCTTGTGACATTCCCAACATTGCTCATGTTTATCTCTCTGGTGTGTGTCTGTGTAATCACCACCGTGACCAGGACACAGACCAACCCCATGACCACAGAGGTCTTCTTGTGCAAGCTCTTTATAGTGACCCCATCTCCATCATACTTGACCTCTGCCAATGCCAATCTGCTCTCCATTCCATAGTTTCCAGAATGTGGTATAAGTGGAATCATACAGCCTGTGACTTTATTCACTCCAAATAATGCATCCAAGAAACTTACAAGTTCTTACACATGTAAATAAACCATTTCTTTGTATTGCCTGGTAGTATTTCCTTGTATGTAGGCACCATGGTTTGTTGAACTGTACACTTATCATTGGACCTTTTTGGTTGTTTTTTTGCGATTACAAAAAAAGCTGCTATAAACAATCGTGTACAGGTTTTGTGTGGACATAAGTTTTTATTTCTCTGAGATAAATGCCTTAGTGAGTAATTGCTGAGTCATATAACCCACTTCCTCTCCTAAAAAAAAGTCAAGATACAATTCTTTTTGTTGGATGCAGGCACTTAAAATTTCTGAGACCCACATGACACATTTGGACTAAGTTTTACTGGGTTCATTAATAAAAGGTTAGAATAGGGATTCATTTCAGGAGCAGACCTGATT